TAACAGTTTAAAAGGACATGGAGGTATTGTTGTCTCCAGTTAGAACCTTCCTGACTGTTTGTATAAGGACTGTTCTATTGTTCTAGTTCCAGATTGTAGTCCCAGGTGGGAGATCCATAAGCTTAGCTGCAGATGCCCGATTGTCTGGACTGGACTGGAAGATTCGGCCTGCCTGAGGTGTCACCAAAGCTTAGTCAGAAGCTGACCTAAGCTACAGCTAAGATTTAACTAACCTACCTTGAATAACAGGATTTTATATCCACAGCCATTTTCTTTATTATTTTGATATCCAATTCTGAATAAATGTTAGTTTTAATGTTTCTACAGTTTTATGAAGTTTTTCATTTTTAACTGTAAACATTGTCAGTGAACAAAAGAACCTTTTTTAAATATACAATCTTAATTACAGCAGGGAATAAGATGTGGGCAAACCCCGAATCCTCTCATTTAACCAGCAAGGCTGGGGTTACTATAAGACTTTATGATGACTCACTGTTTGTAATTCCCTCTGTAAAGTGCACATAGTGCATTCGCTAGTTAAAGCGAAGTTACCCGCCACACTGTCTCTCTCTTTGTCTTTGTCTGTCTGTCTCTGTCTTTTTGTCTCTCTCTGTCTCTCACTGTCTCTCTCTCTTTGTCTCTCTCTGTCATTCTATGTCTCTCTCTGTCTCTCTCTCGCTCTTTGTCTCTTTCTGTCCCTCTCTATGTCTCTCTGTCTCTCTCTGTCTCTCTCTCTGCCTCTCTATGTTTCCCTGTCTCTCTCTGTCTCTGCCTCTCTGTCTCTCTCTGTCTCTCTGTGTCTATCTATGTCTCTCTATGTCTCCCTATTTCTCTTTGTTTTTCTCTGTTTCTCTGCCCCTCTCTGTCTCTCTCTGTGTCTCTCTTTTTGTCTCTCTCTGTCTCTATCTGTCTCTCTATGTCTCTCTGTCTCTCTCTATGTCTGTTTATCTATGTCTCTCTGTTTCTCTCTGTCTCTCTGTCCCTCTCTCTCTCTCTGTCACTCTCTGTCTCTCTCTGTCTCTCTCTGTCCCTCTCTGTCTCCCTCTGTCTCTCTCTTTCTTTCTCTGTCCCTCTCTGTGTCTGTCTCTCTGTCTCCCTCTCTTTCTCTCATGTTGCTAAAAGTAATCTGAAGATGTGAACAAGCATCATTGCACACGGTTATAAATCATTAGTGCTCTGCCAGCAGTACGGACAGCTGCTAAGAAACTGTCCGCACGCAACTCCCTAGCTACAGAGACGTTTCCCCATTTACCCCAGAGTGTTAACTATGATACCCATTACTTAGAGGCTGGGTGAAAACCGGTAACCGCCCGGTTTCCAACACCGGCCATAGACAGCATTCAGCTGAATTCGAAAGTCTCCTATCGACTGTGCTAACGCGGCTCCCATCTCATCCTTTTAAGAGAGTTTGGCACTAAAGAAAATAAGAGGTTGATATTGACCAGGGCTGTCGAAGTTGGTACCTCAGTAACAATTTTTTTTTTTTTTTTTGTTGTTGTTGCTTTTAACGAGCAAGAACTGTACTTTTCGTATCACACCTGAAACTTTAGTTCGTTTCTCAAATTTTGCATCCATATTTTAAAAGTTAGCGTTGTGTTGATGCTTTTTAAAAAGAAGTGATGGAAGTGTACTTAAAGTAAGTTTAATGCAGTTGTACCATTAGACGCAATTATTCAAGTGCGCTGTTGATTCAGTTTCAAAGGCCAGGATGGTTCTCTTTCATGTCTTTTAACATTCCAGTTAATTTATTGCTCTATATTTTCTTATTCGACTTTTTTTTTTGAGGGGTGGTGGTGGGGGGGGGGGGGGGGGGGGGGGGGGGGAAGGCGGGGGGATTTTTTGTGACATTTTTTTTAAATCAAAATTTTTTCAAAATTATTTTGTTTCAGTCCTGGTAGTAAGCCCAAGTGTCTAAATAGGCATTAGTTGTGGACTAGGACCACCCCAGATATAAGGTCATACAGCTCAAAGGAAATTCCCGTTTTTGTGAGGCTTTTGCAACATGTGTTGAATTAATTTTTTTTTTTTTTTTGAGGATACACAAATGGGCTAATGTAAAATATTTATCTTCAAAATAATAATTCATGCGATAGCACAAGTTGCAAATTAATTAAACTGTAGATCACTTTGTATATAAATCTACTCGATAAAAATTGTTACCACCGACCGGCCATGTCAGCCTCACAAAAACTTTCATTCCCGTTTGAGCTGTAGGCCTTATATATGGAGCTCCCCGTGTGGGCTCCGGTGCCCTGCTATAGGGAAAACAAGATAGACCCACTGCCTACCCAAAAGCATGTCGTAAGAGTCGACTAACTGGCAGCTTCCTTTAAAGTCCGAGTGCATCTGCCTAAGAGGCAAGGAACCAGCAGTCTGCAAACAAATGAGACAGATCTGTGAAACGGATGCACACGCAACAATCAGGTTCTGGAGCAGGACTGCAGTCTAGAAGTGGATGAACAACCAGAACTTTCCGCCAGAGTTTACAGCTGGTAAACGCGAAGAAGAAGAGGATGTATGGAGCTGGCCGTGTTGTGGGCTAAGCACAGAGTTCTATTACAGTAACATTGAAACGTGATACCTATGAAGAGATGCCGGTACTGTCCACCGTTCCGTACCTTTTTTTTAGCAGGTATGCTCAGTGCCAAACTAGTAAGCATTGCTTCAGAGGTCCTATGTGGATGGTATCCTTTGGATATTTTATATGGCCCGTCAGTGTGTTACTAAACGAAGAGACAGATAGCCTGGCCAGTTCTGCATCACTTGGTGGTGAAGTGATGCATGTCTAGCTAGATGTTGAAAAGGTCCTTTGCAAGTTAGTGAACAGTGCAGGGGATAAAAAAAGTCATTACGGTCTGAGGAGAATGGCACTGCGAGGAGTTACCAGGGGATCTGGCCGACGCTCAACACTCATGGGAAAAGATGCAAACAGACAGTTTCTAGTGCCAGTGGAATTGGAGCTCTTCGCTAGCTGCTGAAGATGGGAACGGAGCGCTCATGGGAGTGCCATGAGTGCTGTTAAGTCGATTCTTTTATTCAATATTCAGCATTTTTCATCTCGCCGGCTGGCTTTCTCCCTCCAGTTGGTCACACCAAGTGTTTGCAGCTCTGCCTGGATTTTATCTCTCCATCGTCTTCTTGGTATGTTAAAGGTTAGAGTCGAGAGAATAGAACATAGTACCGGTTTTTATCTCATCTTGCTCGGTCCCTTTCCGAAGAGCAGTCTGCCGAGAGCTTCACATAAAGCACAAACTACGTAGCTCCGGTGACGATCCTGGAAATCTCATTTTAAAATTGCACTTGTGAACTGATTAGCGCCGCCGTAGAACGAACACACATCCTTCAGAGTCCGAGGCAAACGGCTTGACCACTTCGCCGCTCCATGTCTACACGTATTCAGCTCCCTTTTGTACCCAGCTATTACCCCAACGACCGAGTGCTAAAGAGAAATATAACCTGCTTGGCACTAACGAGGTCAACTTTAGAGACCAGTTGTCTCTAACAGTCTAACGGGAACGTCGTGTCAATAGAGTTTCTATCTGAGGTCCTTTTGTGGCTTCAGCTTTCATTGTCACCTGCTAATTCACACTTGTCACTGGGCTAAAATCCATTTATATTTGTTTCTCTTCTATCGCTTCTTTTCTTTCTAATTTCGTCATGTTCATCTTTCCTGTCGAACTCATCTTAATCCTAATCCTTCATCATTGTCTTCTTCTTCTTCTTCTTCTCTTCTTCTTCTTCTTCTTCTTCTTCTTCTTCTTCTTCTTCTTCTTCTTCTTCTTCTTCTTCTTCTTCTTCTTCTTCTTCTTCTTCTTCTTCTTCTTCTTCTTCTTCTTCTTCTTCTTCTTCTTCATCATCATCACCATCATCATCTTCTTCTTCTTCTTCGTTTTCTCCTACTTCATGCCCCCCTTCTCCTCTCCCCTCTTTCTTCTTTATCTCATCTTCCACCTCCTCCTCCTCCTCCTCCTCCTCCTACTACTACTACTACTACTACTACTACTACTACTACTACTACTACTACTACTACTACTACTACTACTACTACTACTACTGCTACTACTACTACTACTACTACTACTACTACTACTACTATACTACTAACTACTACTACTACTACTACTACTACTACTACTACTACTACTACTACTACTACTACTACTACTACTACTACTACTACTACTACTACTACTACTACTACTACTACTACTACTACTACTACTAAAAGGTTACTTGCGTATCCTTTACAAGACTTTGCAGAACCAACCCCAATAGCCCCTGGCTGTTGTGTGGTTTTTCTAGGCAAATTAACGTCCAGTAGTTTGCAATTGCTTACTAGACGGTCGGCTTTCTTGATACCACTGTCGAAACTAACACAAGGCGCGTGGCCCGCACCTGGGATCGAACCCGGCATTACGAAGCGTTCGCATCGACTTAGCCACAGAGCCGACACTACTACTACTACTATTACTTCCTCTTCTTATTTCTTCCTCTTCTTCCTCCTTCCTTCTTCCCATAGTCATCCTCTTCCTCTTTCAATCACACCCAACCCAGTATTCATTCATTAACATACTAATGTTGTATTTCTCAACACCATGTCCCATCTGATCCACTTTCCCTTATTTAAGAGCTCTTCATTCAGGGAAAAACGACAGGAGAAGACAAACCTAAAATGTCCTTTTAATAAGCAGCTAGACATTAGACATAGTTTAGTGAATCCGTACATATAAATATTAGATTTTCTAACGTTATTTATTTATTTATTTTCTTAGGAATGTTAATATTTCTGTGTAAGCTGAACACAAGGGACGAACGAACTTAATCAAAGAAAGTGAAGAGAAAATTTAGAATATTACTTCAACAATCGTAACATTATTCAAGTCAATAAACATAAAAATATTAAAAATGTCAAGTTTTTCCCTCTCAAGATACGAAACAATTTAGTGAAAAAGAAACGAAACAAAACAAATGTTGCTGTTAAGAAACAATGATTGCTTCTATTATTTTCCTATTCGAACAAAAGATGAATGGCTTCCCCTGGTATTCCGGGTGCCCTCAGCTTCATCGATAAGTAAGCCATCGTTCTTTCCGATTCGGACAAACGCTGACGAAGGAATTTTCCCAATACGGACAAATGCAGAACCTCGGGTTTCTACTTTGATTGGTTCTTTGTCCCCGACACTTCCGCTAAGTAAACTTTCTGAGGCTTTTACAGATGCGTCAAGTGGAGAGAGTAACTCTGAATTCTGACTGTCTGAGGGCCAGGATTTACCAATGCGGACGAAACTTGATGCTCTCTTTTGCGAATCGGAATTTTGGTCGGATTTCATGTCAGATTTTCCTATTCTTACAAAACTAGAAGCTCGTTTGGCGTCGTTGATTTCATTATCAAATTTTGATTTTCCAATTCTGACGAAGCTAGAGGCTTTTTTCTCTTTCTCGTTGGATTCAGACTCGAGTTGATCATCAAGATTTGCAGCTAGGGCAGATTTCCCAATTCGGACAAAACTTGACGGTGCTTTTCCGATGCGGACAAAACTAGAAGGTGCTTTTCCGATTCGGACAAAACTTGAAGCTCGTTTGTCAAAGTTGTCGGATTCTTGTTCATAATATGTATTCAGATCGTTTTCATCAAAAGAAGTATCAGATTTTCCTATTCGGACAAAACTCGAGGGTGCTCGACCTATTCTAACAAAGCTAGACGGCGCTTTTCCTATCCGGACAAAACTTGATGGTGCTTTTCCGATTCGGACAAAACTTGAAGGCGCCTTTCCGATTCGGACAAAACTTGAAGGCGCCTTTCCGATTCGGACAAAACTTGAAGGAGCCTTTCCGATTCGGACAAAACTTGATGCTCTCTTATCTATGTTGTCATCGCCATTGATTTCGGATTTCCCGATTCGTACAAAACTAGAGGGACCTCTGCCGATTCGCATAAACTGAGAAGCTCTCTTGGAGTTACCAGCGGCTTCCGAGTTCATCTCATCCGTAGAAAGGGAGTATAAACCAGACAACTTGTCCAGAACATCGTCAGCGTTCAAATACTTTTCATATTCAGGTTCCAGATTAGTAATTTCTGATAATCCAGACATTCTGGGCACATGATCCGAAGCATAATCTTGTCCTTGCTGGGAAATATCTGACATCCGTTTAAAGCGATTTGGGGACTCTAGTTTATCGACACTGCTTCCGGTCTTGAAGTTGACCGAGGAACTGCCAACGACTGCCCCTGTCGCCGCCATTGTCAGACTTGCTAGAAGTAGAACTGGAAATGTAAGCCGGAAAACAGCATGTTTTGCTTGCGTCATCGTTTTTGTTGTTAGTTACGGGTGATCTAAAAACAGAAGAAAGAAAAAAGTACGAAAGAAATATCAATATATACTGAAACAATATATACATTATACAATGGTCATTTAAAATGTTTAATTTTGTTCAACAAGTATATAATACAAATATGCAGATAAATATATAAATTAGATAATAAACTTGAAGTTAACGCTGGTTAGGCTACAGAGTTTGTAGTATAGCAATGACAAGTGTGCATATCTTAGAACTCAATTAAGTGGGGAAGAGAGGCGAATAAGATAGAAATATTCAATATTCACATGAAGTATGGCTAATTCACATCTGCAATAATTTTTTGTAAACATTTATCGGAAAATGTTGTAAACGAATTTACCACCCAGTCTCCCCCTCCCCCTTTTTTTTCCCTCCCCCTCACCCTTTTTATGTTTTTAATCGAGCGTATCCAAGAGCAGTTGGTCTAGAGTTGCGCTGCTACCTCGAAGCTTCTCACAATATCAGAGAGGACACCGCGGACTGTCTCGATTGGCTACCAAGGTTACAGTTGTTTTGTTTGTCATTATTCTGAAGCTTTTGCTGAAAGTGATTGGTTGAATGAAGAGTTGATGGTGGTTCCAGGATTGGGTTGTTAGAGGGAGCAATGGAGGAGAAAAGAGGCTGAAGGAAAGCGAACCGACGAACTTTATTTTCAAAGGGTTATTTACAGATTGGAAAGGCAGGAGTGGATTCCATGTCACTGTGGCTTGGAAGGCAATGCTTTAGCGGACAGATTGGCCAGAAGCGGCAGTGATATGGTACAACCAAATAGTGACTTAACCCACCAAAAGACGAGAACATTAATACAATCTAGTATCCAAGAAAGGTGGCTGGATACCCACACCAGATTTTCTCCCCAAGACTCGCTTCGTCGCCTCTCTAGAGAGGGACAGTGTATTGTTTTCAGACTAAGGACTGGGCACAACAGATTTCGTCAACATATGTTTAAATTTTTCGGTGTAGAAAACACGGAGACGTGACCCTGCAGCGTGGCACCCGAAAATGCTGAGCATGTGCTCCAACACTGTCAACTGTATGCTGACAAAAAAGACGCAATCTGGTCCTTATACAGACACATACCTGCACCTGTTTTCATGAGTACACATATATAGACTCACACATTCTCTCTTATTTATGTATATACGAGAGGAGAGACGATAAGCACCCTCTCTCAGCGCGCACCTTCCCCTAAACTCTCCATCCCACCCCCTCAAACCCCCTTCCCCCACTTGAACCCAAGGTCACGACGCCCCTGAACAAAGGCAAACATTTTGGCCACTACGCCATCCCTAATTCTCAACGTTGACTGGCTACAATGTCTTTACCGCTCACTGTTTGAACATTACTACGTGAGATTCCCCATCTCTTCCACAGTGCGACTCTCCTACCACTATCTGAAAATCTCAAAAACTTTATTTTTCTAAATGGCTCAAACCCTGGTATGTCGATGCTTGCATTGTGAAACCATTTCACTAACCTCTATACCAGAGGTCCGGACAAACTTAATGAACAAACGTTAAAATACAATTTTGCCTTCTGAAAAATAAAATCATGGACCTAAAAGTCACAGATACGAACTAATTGAGAATCAAACTTCTTTTTTTTTTAAAACTATGCTTAGATTTCTCCCCTTCTCGCGTTAAGTTTATTTGCCCAAGATGGCTGAAACATTTGCAAAGATTGCCAGGGCGAAGCGACAAGTGAGGCCAAAAAACGTCGTTTCATTTCATATCAGATGCTGAAATGTGACAAACAGCGAGGTTTAAGGGAGCTAGCCTCTGTCGCCGGCAAATCCGGACAAACAGACACGCTGGCAGGTTTGGGGTTAAAGGACAGATGCGATATCCGTTTCCGGGAGCCGTAAACGCTGATTGGTTGAAATACAAACAGGAAACGTACTGAAGCACTAGGGATGATATGCGATTAGTTGATTTAATATCATCATACAGATTGTTACCTCATTTAATTTATTTATATCTTTTCTCCCACTTGACTTTTGTGATTTTTCCTACAATTTCTTTTTGTTGGTAAAGATTTTGGTAGGAACTTCTTCTTATCATTTACTCCAGATCCTATTCTGCTTCCAGTGTCGGGTTTTGATGAGACATCTCGTAAGAATCGTCAAGAATGTTGGGTAGATGAAGGTATTCATTGTGTTAGACATTCGATCTATCCATCGCTTGCGTTGGCGACCTCTGCGTCTGGTTCCGTTGTGTTTACGTGACAGGGTTCTCTGCTGTGCTCTGTAATGTAACAGTATTCATAATGTCCGAAACATTTGATCAGTTGTCTCTTGTTGTAGTTCAACAGGGGTACCTTCTCAACTTATTTCCTGATATCGTCAATTCTACTACTGGAACAGCCAGAGAGGGAGAAGAATACGAAGAAGAAGAATATTGCAGAGAAGACATAAAAACACTAAACACCAGTATGTAAGCAAACTGTCTAAGAAAAGACTGTCTAGTTCGTTCTTCTATCATTCCATGATATTCTGCATCCTTAAAAAATAAAAAAATATCACTTTAAAACACACACACACGCGCGCGCGCGCGCGCGTGCTACATAAAATGTAGATTCAAGAACGGAATCCAGATGGCATACCTCCCTGTGTGGCTTCCAGAGCCCTATTGTGGGGATAACAAGATAACTAGAATAGACCCACAGGCCACCCCCCCCCCCCCACACACACACACAAATCATGCTGCAAGAGTCGACTGACTGGCGGGCTTTCTTCGAAGTCGGAGTGCATCTGCCCGAGCGGCAATGAACAACCAACTGCACACAAATAAATCAGTAAAACATATGTACACGCTAACCTCAGTCCCCGGCACAAAGTCCAAATGGACGAACAACCAGGACTTTCCGCCGGAGCTTACAGCCGGTGATAAACCAAAAGAAGAAGTGGGACTGCAGACCAACAAACGAAATTTCTGATACCCCGTTCAACATCCAACAAATTATTATCTACGCCAGTGGTCGGAAAACTTGCTAGTCAAAAGAGCCAAAAACCAGCAACAGGACGATTCAAATTGTTTTGACGGGTAAATTTCTGTTAAAGAAACTGTCAAGAACCATGTTTTCGGAGTCATAACCGATTTGTGGTCGACTGTCCGAGCCGCACTCAGGAAGCTAAAGAGCTCGCGAGTCGTGATTTGCCGACCACTGGTCTACGCCACTGGGTAGGATCGGGGGCCCAGCATCTTTATACATTGTTTTAAAGAAGGGGAGGGGTATTAAAACTAAATTCAGTGCGTAATAATAATAATTTGCCAAATTACAAATAAAAATACTAAGGTATTTGAAACCATATAGAATATAACAACAAACATTTTTCAAACGTATATGCGTGGTTATAAGTCCAGCAAAAAACCCTTTCTCACTCCTATAGGCGTACTGGGCATATAGGGCTAGACCAATACGAAATTGACAAATCAGTACGCGGTGGTTGATTTGGGAAGCATCACGCCGGTCGCCTTTACTTCCCAGGATTGCTTCTGGTTCCCACTCAAGGCTGGGTCGACCTGGAAGCCAAGGTCATTTTCTAGACATTGTTATGAGGGTTGCATGTTGCCCTCATTCTTTTTCTATTGGGGCTCAGTCCCCTGACATTTTCTTTGGGGGAAAAGAGGGAAAAAAAAAGGGGGGGGGGGGTTTCAAAATATGTGAGGCCTCACCCCTCCCCTTCCCGGTTTCAAAATCTCTGACGGGTACACAAAATTGTACTAGCACCATATACCTGAAAGTAATCATGGAATGAGAACGGCTGCCCGATCAGTCCTGCACAAACATTATGAGTCATGTCAATCATGGAGATGTCAAGAGGGAAAAATTCCACAATCAGACACTACGTCACAACAACTCAAAGACTTAACATTTACACAATCACATATAACCACTATAGTGAAGACAGCCTGGACATATTGTCAATTCTAAATCCCTATTTTATCGACTGTGATTCGCCCTTTCATACACATACATGACTTGTCGTATTTATTTAACATGTATTGACACAAACTCTCATCTCATTTACTTGTCTTGCTTTTATTTGTTCCGTATATTTTCTTTCGCCCGCAAGTCAATGTTCCGGAATTTGCTATTATTGACAATTCATTCCCTGCTTGAGCGGAATACTTTGTTAGTAAATTGGAAATGAAAAGTCAGTTTGAATTCTCGACATCAAAAACAACAGTTTGATGTTTTATTCCATGACGGCGTTTTGTTAAAATCAATGCAGTGATGCTGTACAAACAGCGCCATTTGCATTTCTTCTCTAAAGAACAATGGTCGCCATATTCAAAAGAGAGTTATTTAAAAACAAGCTCAGAAACATTCGAAAAAATACAAACATTCTTAGCTATTGCCAATTACAAAGACATGAAACAAACCGTTTGTAACGCAAATATTTTGTTTTAAAAATCAAAATGGTGAAGCCATTTTTAAATTTCAAAGAATAATCATATGTTAATGCAAATAAAAAAACCTATTAGGGCGTTCAAGGGAATGGACTCAGTTATTTTCTGTAGGAGAAAGCGTGTCATAATTTGCAAAAACGGGCACAATCCGATTGCAAATGTATGCATGAATAACTTCCGGGTGAAGCAAGGATCTGCCTGTATGTCTTAGAGCGTATCTAAGCCAGGTTTTCTAAATGAAGTTTTTTTTCTTTCCAATTATTGTTTCTTAGGATAATTTGCACGTGTCTCTGCGATTGTGTATATTATCTTCATTATCAGTGTCGTCATTAGCATTCTTAAGATTATCATCATTATCATCTTGATCATCATCACCTTGAACATCATCATCATCATCATCAACATCATCATCATCATCTGTTGTTTGTCCACACAAACAGAGATTCGATAGATCATTTTGTCACCTTCGGACTGCTCCCGGTTTACACCAACCTGAGGTTAAAGAATCGCACTCAGCACGGCAAACCAGCAAGCCAGATCCAAGATACCCGGTTCAA